AGGAAGTTCAGACATTAGAAAAAATTAGCCAAGTTGCAGACACTAACCAGTACTATAAATACAGTTGGAAAGTGCTACATTAGCAATTTTTCAAATTCTAATTTTAGGAAACAGAAAAAAATGGGACACGCTCTGAGACAGGCGTCCCGTGACCCCTAAGCTGGCCACTGAGCCTTTAGGGTCGGGCGGAGTTGGCCGCGGGAGGCACACCAGGTGAGTCCCCAAGTGGATGTGCGTGGTGTGTCTGGGGCACAGCAGGAGGCCAGCGGCTGAGGCCTGGGAGCGCCTTGTTTCTGAGCGCACTGAAGAGGCAGAAATAACTTTAGAGGGGAGTGATGTAAGCACGTTTGTTTTAGAAAGCTGACTCAGGCAGAAATGCAGAAGATGGCTTGAACTGAGGCCAGACTAGAGGCTATGTGACCCAGAGTTGGTCGAAAGAACTTGGCTCTACAGCAAGCATGTCAAACTCCTGCAAGTTTGACATGCTTGCTCTACAGTCGGACAAAGCAAAGTTCAGAGCCCAGCTACAGCAGCCAATGGCTGACTATCTCAGGGCAAGGCACCGAACCTCTCAGAACCTGTTTCCTCATCTGCAAAACAGAACCAGTTCTGCAGCTTCATTACGATCAAGAGAGGTCATACCTGCAAAAAGCCCCGCAAGTGCCTAGCAGTTGGGGTGCCCAACAATGCTTATAAAAAGGGAAGGGCCTGGGAGAAAACTACTCCAAAGGGTGGTGGAAGGAACATTGAATTTGGGGCCAAAGAGTCTAGTTCGAACATTAGCTCCACCTCTTGCTGGCTGGTAAAAACCCTATGGCCATATACAGAGGATGGGAAGATTTTCACCAAGAGAGATCAGTGTCTCTGCTTCAGAGGAGATGCTCACCAAGCAACAGCCGGCCCAGGTGGTGGACCTGGTTTCCCTGGATCTGGACCTGCAGGCTGTCCTTGGCCCCAGGGGCAGGAGTGACAGTGGTGCTAGCCTGACATCGCTGCTGCAGGGTGGCAGCCACTGTGCATGGGTCCAGACCGTAGGCCTCCAAATTCCGGACCACAGTCACCTAGGGGGAGGACAAAAGACTGATGATGGGTACAGACACGTGCCCTTCCTCCAGAGCGCCTGCTAGCAGCCTCATCACCCACTATGTTCATCATCCCTGCAACCATGGTGTCTTTTCATCCAAATATTTTATTTTTGTACTTCTAAATTGAGTCTTTCTAGGTCATTTAATATATGTTATATATTTAGTGGGATAAATATTTTCTATCCCACATACACTGAGTGGCCAGATTACTATGACCACCCCATCAGTACTTTGTTGGGCCACCTTTTGCCTTCAATACTGCGGCGATTCTTCCTGGCATTGACTCCATGAGATGTTGAAAGGTGATGCGAGGAATCTGACACCATGCCTGATGAATAGCACTGTCCAGTTCTGTGAGATTTGATGGTTGTGGAACCAGCTGCCTGATGGCTCTTCTAACTTCGTCCCACAAATGCTCAATTGGATTGAGATCTGGTGATTGTGGGGGCCACCTCAGCAAGGTAAAGTCTCCCTCATGTTCTTGAAACCACTCCTGCACAATACGAGCACCGTGGCATGGCGCATTGTCTTGTTGGAAGAAGCCATCTCCATTGGGATACGCCATCAACGTGATAGGATGAACGTGATCAGCAACGATAGGTAGGTATGTTGTGCTATTCAGACCTTTATAATGGTCTGGCCCTCTAGCAACTTCAGTGTGAAATTATAGCTAATTTGCCTACAAACGTCAGGTGGTCATAATAATCTGGCCACTCAGTGTATACAATATAGTATACTTTTTTAAAATGTGTGTTTATTATGGAGAATTTTAAGCAGAAAGAAAAGCAGAATAGTATGATGAGCTTCCACATACCCATCACCAGTTTCAATAGTTACCAATCATAACCAACCTGATTCATGTCCCCATCCACTCCCCACTCTTTTATTGCTCTAAAGCAGCGGTTCTCAACTTGTGGTTGCGACCCCTTTGGCGGTCGAACGACCCTTTCACAGGGGTCGCCTAAGACTACCCTGCATATCAGATATTAACATTACGATTCATAACAGTAGCAACATTACAGTTATGAAGTAGCAATGGAAATAATTTTATGGTTGGGTCACAACATGAGGAACTGTATTTAAAGGGCCGGAAGGTTGAGAACCACTGCTCTAAAGCAAACCCTCCCAGACATCAGATCACTTCATACACAAACATAAACATTTCAGTGTGTACCTCCAAAACATAAGGGCTTTTTTAAAAATCATAAACAAATCAAGGGAGAGACCATACACACACTGCTCAGTACAAAGTCTGGCACATAAATTGTATGCTCAAGAAACTGACTAATGCCTAATTATTAAGGCTATTATTATTGGTTCTCAGTTATTCAATGCTTATAGGCCAAGTACTATTCTAAGTGCTTCCCCCGTGTATATTCCTTCACTGATCCTCATGGTGCCTGCTCAGGTAGGTATTATTCCCATCTTTTTTACATAAGGAAACTTAGGCAAAAAGACATTAAATAACTTGTTCAAGGTCAAGCAACGGCCACGTTTGAACCCAGGGCGCTAACCCTGAAGCCCACGCTCATAACCCTGCACAACTAGAAGGTTATTTATTTTGAACCCGTCTGTCTTCTTGGGACTCCCGCCCAGCCACCCTGCTGTCTTCTCGAGGCACACAGAACGTGCACACCTTTTCCCCAGGACAGCTTCCCAAGGCTCTGTGTGGCCAAACTAAACACAGTCCGTTCCTTAGCAATTCTTTACAAGTTACCTTCACTGAGCAAGGCCCAAGAGATAACGGAATGAATAAGACCTGAAAGCCTTTAAGGCAAAAAAATCTTATTTACCTTTGGAACCAGGCTCTGGCCAGTTTCCTGGCACAAAATCCTAGAGGGCAGTGAGTGAGGGGTCAGCTTTGCCTGTTTTCTCTGCGGCTCAGCCCAGTTACACACACATGGGTGTTTCATAAATCACCTCTGAGGTGTTTGAGGCCAATCTCATTAGATAGACCAGAACTTAGCTGGAACATTAAATCACCATTTTCAAATATTGTGTCTTTTTAAAAATTACCTTTTTATTGTATGATCTCTGTGCTAGGGTGATGTCAATGGGGCAGATTTTGCCTTTCTTCACAATGGGCTCTTGTCCGGGAAAGGTCACTTGATAGGCAGGCTGCAGCTTTTCCAAACACCTGAAACAGGCGTCAGTGAGCTGTGGGCTGACAGAGCCAACAGGAACCGTCCCTCGCTCCCCACCACCAGCCGGCAGCGGTTTGCCCTTGGCTGCACATGAGAATCGTTCAAATCACCTCGGGAGCTGCTCCCCGACCACTGAAATCAGAAACTAACCAAGTGTATCTGTATTTTAAAACTCCCCAGGTGCGACCGAAGTTGAGACCCACTGCATACTCGGGGAAGGGAACTTCAGCGACGTGAGCCCCGCCCACTGGCCGTGCCTTCAGAGAATCCGCCCAGGCTTCTTTATGGATTTCTACCTTACCCCGGCTGGTGAAGTGACCCATCTCTGACATGTTGCAATGATGCACATGTTACAGAATGTCTTTACCACAAGGAATTTCTCCTTTAGCCAGATTTTCTCTTTGCTGACATACGTGGGTTTTGACAAACTTCTATCAAGGGTCAGACAGTACATATTTGAGGTTTTAAGGGCCATGTGGTCGCTGTTGCAACCACTCGACTCTGCCACTGTGGCACTACAGCAGCCCTCGAACAACATGTAAGTCGATGGGTGTGGCTGAGCACCAATAAAGCCTTGTTTGCAGAACCAGGCAGCAGGCCAGATCTGACCCACAGCCGTAAGTCTACAAACTCCTGACATAAGTTATTTTCAGTTCTGGTTCTGTGAAAAGAAAGAGTATAAGAATCTTTCCTTTGATGACTTAAGACAATTCCTTCTTCACCTTCTTTTGCTTCTAAATCTTTCTGGAGTTCTTATTTTTAAAGTGTTCTTTTTCTTTCTCCCTCTCAAGTTCTTCTCTATTGTGCTGGCTCATGTCGTCCCAAAGACCGTTCTCATGAGAATTACCCAAGCCTGTGTTTATTTAGGCTGACGGGGTATGAATTATGGAAAGAAAGTCAGAAACGAAGACAGTGACGATTCTAAAGTTCCATGTGCTAGGTCCTAGGGAGAGGGCGGTCTTCCCCATTACCTGGTCAGGAGACTGTCCCATGGAAGCTTCATGACTGTGTGCTGTTCACTTTTCTCTAAGATGCAGTCACACAGGATGGGATCCAAGTGCACAAGACTAAAGGGAAAGAAGAGGCTATTAATAGAGAAGTCTTAGCCTCGCCCCTTCTCAGGGGCCCAGCTCAGAATTCACCTCTTATAACACCCTTTTTAGCCAGGATTACTAGAATCAAAATGGGACCACACTCCATGAAACAATGCACCCCGCAAGTCTGCTTTCCCAGAACAAGGGAGAAGCGGGCCGTGGGGGGAAAGTGGGATGGGGAAAACTGAAGACCAGGAATCTTGGCTCAGTTCTGCTACTAGCTAACTATGAGTAGGCCAGTACAACCTTTTGATCATATGGATGTCTTTTAAAAGTAAAAATAAGCCTGGCCGGTGTGGCTCAGGGGTTGAGTATTGACCTATGAAACAGGACACATGCCTGGGGAGTGCAGGAGGCAGCTGATCAATGATTCTCTTTCATCATTGATGTTTCTCTCCTTCTCCCTTCTGCTCTGAAATCAATAAAAATTAAAAATAAATATTATGGAATGCCTTTCATTTAGTATTTTTTCTGTATCCACTTACCAAGAAAA